TTATTTATATTTATTTCATTTTCGGTCTAATTTTTGGGTGGAAAGTGATCCAAAGGGAGTCAAGATGCTTGGATAATTTTCTCTATGCTGTAGCTATTGTGCTGTTTGTAAGGATCCCTTGTCAGATCAGATATATTTCAACAGACGGATCCCTACGTTCTGGGATGTTTCCGGATCGATTTAGTCACTATATAGCATAAAATAATCGATTTTCAAATAAAAAATTCTAGTTAATTTAATATAAAAAACAAATGGAAAATCTAAGAAAGCGAGAGTACGAATATCTAAACTTAAAAAGGACGGAAGGTAGTTCTGCCAACTTATAAACAAAAAATAATCCGTATATTATTCATTTAAAATAGAAGAGTGACAAATTGCTTATCACAATCCCATCACTTTTCGGACAAACGATTATTATTTCTTGCTTTTTGAGGACAAACAATGATTTTTCAAGGTTTATTCAGATGTGCTCTGAGGGCCAAAATCGACACTTTTTTATCATCCTCTTTTTTATCATCCATTTTATCATAAAAACATACATGGCGAACATGTATGTTTTTCACAGCAAACACAAACACAGAAAAGACATCTAAATAAAAAGTTGGGTTATCAATGTATTGCCAATTGTAATGCAAATTCGGAAATGCCGAAATGAATTCATTTCTATCCATTTCAATTTATTTTCGTTTGCTGATTGAAATATCTGGTGGGAGCATACTGCTGCAAGGGAGTAATAAAAATAATTATTTTAAGAATTATTGTTAAATATTGTTAAATGCTGCTTTTGTTTAATTTTTTGATAGTACTAAATGCAATATTTTTCGGTTAACAAATAGCGTTTGTATAAGAGTATTACTTCCAAATCGGTATTGAAAGTGAGCAAGTGAAGTTAAATTAAATAATTTTTACACAGTAGAATTATTTTAGATATATGATTTTATAAACTGGCACTTTAATATACAAAGTGTCCAGTAAATCGTCTGCAATACCATACTTCAGGAAGTGATTCGAGACCCAAAATGAAGGAAAAAAGATTATAAATATACAATAAACATAGGTCCGGAAATAATTATTTTTTGAGTTATCCTCACTTCTTTGTTAAAAATAATTGTAATTTGTTTTTCTTAATCGTAATTACAATCATAATTTTTAATAATAATTATAATTAGTTATAATAATTTATTTTTTCCTAGGATTCATTACGTAGAAATAGAGTCCGCTAATTGGTATTTCTCTTTTTTATTTATTTAATTTTCAATTTTAATTTTTTTTTAAGTTCTTATTATTTGTAATTATGATTACATTATTTTAAAATGAAAGATAAACATAAACAGATATTTAAATCAAGTTTGGTTAATCAAATATTAATTAGAATATTTTAGCAGAAGTCAAATATTTTTCAAACAGTTCGGAATTTTTTTGATGGAAGAATAATGGCCTGCATTCGTGCTGAAGGTGGCCATTTGAATATCTTATTTAATTTGATTTAAGTATTTGTTTATGTTTATCCTTTATTCTAAAAATAATGTACAAATATCGAAGAATTAAAAAAAAAATTAAAAATTAAAAAAAAGGATGCCAAGCGAATTATGTCTTCAGGAGAAATTTGGAAACAAATGAATTATTATTATGATTAATTATGATCATTAATATAAATCATGTTTGTTATTATGATTATGATAAAAAAAATTAATTACAATTTTTTAAACATAAAAGTAATTTTTGGAAAATGCTTATTTCCGGATTTAAATTTATATAATCTTTTTTCTTTATTTTTGAGTCCTGAATCATCTTTCGAAGTATTGCAGGCGATTTACTGGACACCTTGTAAATGTATATAATACATAAAAACATAAAAATAATTCTCCATGTTTTTTATTTTTTTCAGACAAAAAAAATGACATTCCATTCTCATAGTCTTGTACATCTTAAAAATAATATTAAATATTTATATGTAAACAGAGTATCCGTAAAAGAAACAGATCATGTTGACTTTATTTATCAAGTTGCAAAGCCTAATTGTTGTACTCAAAATAACAGTAATTTTAGCACATTTGATAACTCTAAGATAATTGAACCACATACCAAATTTACAAATTATGAAGATTTTAAAGAGGTACGTATTTACTATATGACATAAATTGTATATTTTCTTCCTATATAATGCTATATAATCACCTGTTATCGTCCTGTATAAATCGCAATCTAACTTTATGCAAGATTTTGTTGTATCTCTCTTATTTTTTAATACAGAGAACTTACAAACTATTGCACACACCACCTACGAGGTCAAGTGATCTTATAACAAAGTATATGAACCACCTTCTGTTGAACTATATTAGTAAGTAAAATTTGAATTGATAAATAAGATATTGTTAAAGATACACTTTTGTTGAGAAAAGATTTCAATTATGTTTTTTATATTAAAGATATCGAATTTTATAAAGCCTGTTATCCTATCAGAGTGACTATACCGAAAAAGTGTGGATACTACAATGTTGAACGAATTTGGGCACAAAAATCTGATGATCAATGGTTTATATTATGGGATAAAAAAAATCTGAACTCTGTTTGGCGGATTA